AAAATCCATGATTGTTGAGTAACTGTAAAGAGTGTTGAAGAAAAGTTAGCTAAAAGTAGGGAAAAGGCCCAAATTATTCACATCCAGGAGTTTCTGTTTGAGAGACACATTAAAAGAACCATCTCGGAGTATCAGCGAATTGTAGGAAGAACAATTTTAACCTAAAGCGCAAGGCTGTGACGGGAACGTTGACCCAGAGGGACTAGGGGAGGGACACATGACCTACCTGGTCTTAGAGGTAAAGCAAGAAGGTCTCCACCCACCTCCAGAAAAGGGGCAAACTTAAAATTTAAATTAGACACCACTGTGTGATTATGACTTTCCTATCTACGTAATTTGCACTCTGAAATTGTTCACAACTTAGTAAACGAATCTTATTGGAAAGAAATGGCGGAAGAGTCTGGTTAAAGCAAAGTAGCTTCTTCAGGAGGAGCCTTTAAAAGAAAGCCCTCGCTCACATAATCCATCCTAGCTCACATAAACTCTTGCTCACAAATCATCAACTCTCTTTATTTTCAAGCCATGATGTAAAGTCTTTGCCTTTGTATATATATCTGTATTAGTCTCCTTGTCTCAGATTCAAAGGTAAAAATATAATGTGGAATTCTCAGGAGTTAGGTAAACGCTTGTTAGTGATGTGTTTATCATTTACCCCGCTGAGGGATGAGTACGGTGTACTGAATCAGATGTTTCACTTTCCAGAGTGGGAAGAAGTTCATTGGCCTTTGCGGAGGAAGAGATTGCTCTGTTTGCCAGTGCTTTCCTGAAAAGGGGTCTCGGGTAAGTGATTTGAAAGTCTCTTTGGATATTGGAGGGAGGGGGGATGGGGAGCTTCAGTCGAGAGAGGTAAATTCTAGAGATCTGCTGTACGACATCCCGCTGATAGTCAGCAGCAATGTATTGTTCCCTTAAAAATTTGTTGAGACGGTTAATTAATCTCATGTAATGTGTTCTTTCCATAAGAAAAAATTTAAAAAATCAACATGGACAGCATACTGAATTTTGGGTCATTGTGATTATTTAACATTAAGTGGTCCCAGATTCTTAGCATGTTCTGAGAGTTGGCAATGTTTATATCTTTTGTAATTAAAATTCTATACATTCCGATATGCAATCCCAATTATATCGGACTATGTGTGAGGCTTAGAAGTCTGGGAAGCAGTAATTCACTCAATGTTTTATACAACACTTGTTTTGAGAAATTGCTTTATGTAGAAAGGGTCCCAGTGTTAAGTGACACATACTGGGCTGCCATCTTGATATTCATGTTGCATATCAGCATTTTAAAGGCTCTGAGAAGTACTGCAGTGGGTAAAAAAAAAAAAAAAAGGCCTGTTTAACTTTGTTTAAAGTATTGTTTCCAGACATTAGACCACAAGCATCTTTTTTGGATAATACCCATTAAAATCCTGTGGAATAGTTCTATAATTGAAGCAATAGGTGCATTTCTTGTGTGCTTCTGATGTTGCAAGACATTTGTATACCTTACAAAGTGATCCCCCTGGTAAATCTAGTACCCATCTGACACCATACGTAGTTATTATAATATTATTCACCGTATCCTTGTGACTATTTTTATAACTGACAATGTATACTCATGATATAGTTTAAAAACAAATGACACAAATCAGGAAGTCCTGGGGATGTGGTGTACAGCGTGGTGTCTATAGTAAATATCACTCTACATTTGAAAGTTGCTAACGGACTAGACCTTAAAAGTTCTCATCACAAGAAAAAAATTGGTAGCTATGTGTGGTGATGGATGTCAGGTAGATTTATTGTGGCGATCCTTTTGCGACGTATACATGTACCGAATTGTGTTGTAGAACTGAAACTAATATTATATGTCAATTATATTGCAATAATTTGACTTAAAAGTAGGGATACTAAAAACTGGTAATCTAAGAAATGTTTTAGCCTTTTCTATGTAAATATCCACATTATTCAGGGAATTAAAAAGCCCGGCTTTTGTGTGAGGTTGTTAATATAAACATATTAAGATTGTATAAGTGATAAATAGAAGTCAGTGCATATAAAATTTAAGACCTGTTGAGACTGACACCCAAGAAAAAGGGATTGATCAGCTGTGTGGCAGGAAGGGAATGGGGACGCCACAAAACAGGAAGAGCCGCTTGGATAAAACCAGCTCGCTGTGGTCCTCAGACTTAAATTGTTTCACTGGGGACATTTGGTGATGTCTAGAGACATTTTTTTTGGTTGTCATGACTGGGTGGAGGAGGCCGCTCCTGGTTCCAGTGGGTGGCGGCCGGGGATGCCGCTCAGTATCCCACAATGCATAGGACAGTCCCCACACCAAAGACTTGTCCGAGGTGGAGGAACCCGGCCCCAAACCTACAACAGCTCCGTGAGGCCACTATGATTATTATTTCCATCTATCAATACCAGGTGCCAAATATCCAAGCGTTTTAAATAACTGGCTGGTATGTGGAAGAAACAGAAAGTACTCTCAGGTCACTGGCTTCCATCCCAGCATTTGCCACAAGATCAAAGAGAGGATGACACGCTACCGTTCCAAGACCAGTTTTAGTCATAACGTTGTGAACTTAGGCGGACGCTTTAATCTGTGCAAGGCTCAGTTTCCTCACATTTACACCATTGGTCCCTTCTCTTCTGTTTCCTCGGGCCACTCAACAATCACAAGCAATCACAGGCGTAGAGGGTGTGTTTTGTGTCCCCTGCACAGTCTCCAGCCCGTGGGTGAGGAGGGTCACGGGAGGGGCCGCACTCTGCTGTCTGCGTCCCTGTTTCTAGGTGGTCAGGGAGAGCAGTGTGTGGAGCGCCTGTCAACCTCTGCCCTTCCCAAGACAGATGGGTCCCCCCGTGAAGGCTGCAAGTGGCCGTTGCCGGTGACATTTTCCAGCTGGGAATTTGGGAGTGTGGAATTTATGCATAGCTGGGAGGTGGCTTGGGGGGCAGGCGCTCCAAGTCCTCGGCAGCCGGCCGACTCCCATGCCATCTCTTGAGCCACCGCGACAGCTCGAGGTGGACTATAAAAATAGGAAAACACTGAATTCCAGAGGGCTGAGCATCCGTCAGAAGTGGCATAGCCCACGGGTGGCACAGGAAGGCATTCTTAAGAAAGAAATCATTATGTAGTCTCAGCTTAATGCCTGAATGAGTAAGTAGTATGTTTAAGCTCCAAATCAAAACTGCTGCGTCTAAAGCAGTTGTTGGGGAGCCAGGCCACCCCACGCCGTGGAATGACCGAGGTGAGGGTTTTAGCTGGATTTTGAAGCTGGGATGTGTCTAAGGCCCGAGTCAAGGGCGGCTCCTTCGAAGCTGGCAGAATGCAGTTCAGCCGCCGGACGCCCACAGCCCAGCCTTGGCACGTGCTTCATCAATAATCACTGTTGCTTCCCCTTCGACCCTCTCCAGCTGCACCAGTGGGGCCCCTCACTCTCCCTTGGACATAATCTGAACATTCCCACCTCTCTACCCTTTTCTGGGGTGCCTTCCCCCTTCCAGTCAGCCTCCATCTTTCTTGTTCTCCCCAGAGAAGCTCTGTGGAGACGCCACCTCCCAACGAGGCGTCCTGCCGATCCTGGCCAGTGCTGATGTCCCCTGGCGGGAACCTTTGCTCCTTCCATGGTACTTCTCATACTCAGGTCTATAGCTCTGTTTTTCAGCATGGACTTGCCCGACCCTCTCGATTAGATTGTAAGCACATGCTTCGTAAAGGTGGTCATGTGGACACGTGTGACATGTAGATGTGGGTTCCTGGTCTACAGTGGGCACCATAGAAATATAGGTTGCCTGTTCTTATTTCTCCCCTTTGAGAACTGGGCGTCATTTCTGGTACTTCTTTGAGACGATCGCAGTAGATGGGCATCTAATAGCTAGTTACCATACATAAATCAATAAATTAAAATTCAAACTCCAGCCTGGACAGGGTTTGGAAGCCTGAGTTGGTGGCCGGGCAGAATGAAGCACGCATGTAGGGACACCTTCCATATCCAAGAGGAGGGGGAACAGAATCATAGGGTGCCACTCCCTGAGTCTCTCCCCCCGCCCCCCCACACACAGCGTGTAAACCTGTCATGAAATGAGTCATCTCACATAGTTCAGATTCCCTTGTGCATTTCAGGTAGGGCCAGTAATAAGCACTTTGAGCAGCAGCAACAGACATGACCATTGCTATACTTGGATGTTCTAAGGGTTTGGCAGCATCCTGGAAAGAACTCGAGTCTTAGGGCAGGAGATTGGGGCTTCTCCCTTTGGTCTCTTTTGGGTTCAGAGCACTCACCTGAGGAATAGGGGTTTGTACTAGAGAGCTGGGCCTGTCCCTCCCAACCCCAACAGCCTGTGGTTCTGTGATGAGGAGGTATAGCTTTTCATCTGTGACAGCTGTGTAAGTGGCATCCCAAAATATTTTGTGGCTATGCCATCACATTTCCTCAAACCTCATTATAGTCCCTCTTTAAGGATGCGATGAGGTAGCGTTGGGCAGAATTTTAAATTATTTGTTACTTGTTTCAAGAGGAAAACTCTGGTTTTGATGGCTGTCTCCTTGTGGGAAAAATTACTTGTCTTTATAGACTATGATGGGATCTTTCAATAAGTTCTGCTTTAGTAACTAGCATGATAATAAAAACACCTTCTGCAGTTTTCTTCTGGAATAAAATATATCCATATTGTTTTCCACTCAAGGACGTAGAACAACAGTAAAATAACACAACTTTATAATTTAGTGATTTTATATATATAAGGTCAAATGGCTTAAAACGCAAGACCTGTCTTAGTTTTTTTTTTTTTTTTTTTAACTAAACTCACACATTTGCAAACCAGTCTTTCTTTTGGAAATTTTAAATCACTAAAACACGTACTTTTCTTGCAATCTTATTCACTTGTTCCTTACACTTCTTAAGAGCCTGCATTCCATGACAAAAATGGAATTCACTTGGGACATTTTCATTCTCGTTAACATTTTTCATATTAAATTGTGTGCGCACGAAGCTCTAGAACAGTCGCCCCATCACTCGCACAGCTGTGTCCTAGTGCTCTCCATAACTGTGGCCTGATCAGTGGCTCAGAGCAATTATTTGTATGTCCCAAAGTTCATATAAGTCAATTATGCTGTATTTTGATGAAAGCAAGTTCCAGTGACGACTGAGAAGTTGGCCAGTTCCATCTGTCACCAACCCCTTAGCTTTTGGATTCTGCTTTCTCCTTTTTCTTGCTATCTTTCTCCTCAAAGAACAAGCTCCATAGCTCACTCTGTCTCTGCTGGAGGCTTCTCTGATAAATGACACTCTGTCTGAGGTGACAGACCAGGTGCCTTCAGGCGACAGTAGCTCACCTGAGTAAGGGGGCCCCAGGATGTGACACTTGGCTCTGGGGACCATAGGGAATTGGCCAGTGCATTTGTCATGCAAAGGCATCAGAATTTGGAATTTTCTTTCTTTTTTTTTTTTTAAACACACAGTGCCTAACAATTAAACAGATTTCCCGGTAGAATGCAGCCCAGCAGCTAGCTGCAGGTGATAACCTTGGCCTGGCTCGTTGACGTGTTCCCCGTCAGGAGTATTAACTTTGATTTTTGAAGAATGAACAACTGGCGAAAGTTAAAAGAATGACTCTTCAGTCGTCGGATTTCTTATGTAGGTGCCTGAGGAACTGCTTCTGAACCGGGCGTGGCGGTCCTGGCGGCAGAGGGAGGAGACGTGCCTATCGTTTTATGCCATTTGGCTTATTACTCATCTTAGTGGTAGCAGGAGTGGTAGTCGCTGACACCTACACAGAAAAATGACTAAAAGTCACTA